TCGTACCTGGCACGACCAAAGTCATATTTATCGACTGGTTGGTTTTACGTCAGGATGAAAAACAGTGCAAAATCAGTTCAAGTTGAACAACCCATTCGACCAGTTGTTGGTTTTACTGATTTAAATATAACCCACGCGATTTCACACAAGGCAACTTCCGGTTTTGCAATTATTAATCATTTCAATCAAACATAACATCAAGGTATTACAAATCAATTGAACTGCAATATTGGAACGGCTATTGGAATTGTTTTCAGATACCGTGAACAATGGGTGGATTTCAGATTCAGCAGAGGCCATGGACGCCGACGAAGCGTCGCGGTCCCATCGCGGCTGAATTCAATGGGCCCGGGCCAGCTGCTGTGACCTTGCCATCCTATATTGGTAACCATTCATGATGGCTAAATGAACTAACATCACATTAGATATATACATAGTAATTAACGCACCTATTTGTTAATCTATAAATACGTATAACTGTGTCAGTTTAGTTTACATTAATGCGGTTTTTAATGTTTTGTATTCATAGTTCCTGGTAGTCGTTCTTGCAACCAACGCAAATTATTTTACTTGAACCTACGGTTCTTAACCTACATTATAATTTAATATTATGCTATGGTGAATAGAAAGTAGTTTTTCTAAATTGTCTTTTTGTTAGGCAAAAAATCATCCGAGTCCAAAAATGGACGCGCGCCGGCCTACAGCTTCGGTGGTAAGCATAATGGACGTGTGGAGTCCATTGGACCCGGTCCGGGTCAGTATAACGTCACCGGTTTATCTTCTAAAGGTACTACTATACTATTTTTTCAAATCTTTAATATTTCAATAATTTGCTTTACTTTAAATCAGGTAGAGACACTCCACCTGCATTGAGTCTCCATGGACGTCCAAAAGATGTTAAAATCGACAATCTTCCCGCACCGGGTGATTATGATCCGGATAAAGCTGTGAAAGTAATTCATGACAGTTCGCCCAAGTATACTTTTGGTTTGAAGACCAACGTGGAGAAACCCGTTGATACACCTGGTAAAGTACCCATTCATTATGTTTGGCTAAGACATGAAGGAATTAATTAATGCACTGCTAGATATTTATTTATTTATTATTATAACATTATATTTTACGTTAAATTGTAGCATAATTTATAATTTGCAGTAATTTTGATTTGCTTTGCTTTCGCCTTTTGCAGCACCGAATAAATACCATGTCGAAAATGCGGATGTAATATTTGATAGCTCGCCAAAATACACGATACGACC